GATGGAGTGGGAGAGGTCACACTGGAAAACCTGGTGTCTAAGGTGGTGGTTATTTTCTGACTGTCTCTTCACATCCTTTATACGTGGATATCAGAAAAGCAGAAATTATTTGAACAATATTAAAAAATTGTGTTTAAATACTCATAAGTCAATTCTGAGTTTGTAGCTAGATCCTAAGTAATAAATAAACTAATCCCTGTAAGTCACGTTGGAATGGTTTTGTTTTCCTTTAGGAGACACCAGGGCATCTTGACTCACCCTCTCACACCTTTCTGTTCTTGAAATCTTGTTGAAACTTGTTTCTGTTTTGTTGGCGCTGCCTCTGTCTTCTGTGTGTTTCTCCAATGTTTTCAGCAAGATTGGGCTGGAACACGTCTCCTCTCTTCCAGGATGCAGACTGTATCTTTTTGAACAAGGAAGAGCTGGAGGTGAAGGTGGATCTGTTAAGAAGGCAGTTGGAGTTGTTGAAATGTGTGTTTGAGGAGGTGAGTTTCTCTGGTCCATCCCAGCAGTTTGGTGGTGCCGTCTCATCCTTCAGGTGCTCCAGGTTTCTACAGCTTGAAACCCCTCTTGGACGTGTCTCATCCCAAGCCCTGAATACTTGAAAGCGTACAAGTATGAGGTTGATATAATATTAACATGATTATGCTGGAAATAGGGCGGTTCCCCCTTTCTAAATGCAGCTCCGGGTATGAATTGGCTGTGTCCTAACTCTGCCCTTGGGAAAAGACATCCGTCTGTCTAGTTACTCTGGATTGCAGTTGGCTGATTAGAGCTAAAGAAACTCCCAGCTTAATCCTGTCATTAACATCAGTAAAGCAGCTGAAGATGACAGGATGCCAAGGGTTAAGTCACCCAAATTCCTTGCCCTTGATGTGGACAGATTTGCTGCAGGTCAGCATGTAGGTCAGCAGCTGACATGTGGCAACTCATCCAGCAGGGAGGGTTTTCTGCTGAGCCAACCTGAGGGACATTTCTTGACTTGTTACATCTGTCAGCTGAGCAGTGTGGCTCTTTGTCCCAGCCCTTCCTTCACTACAAAGTCTGAGAATTGCTAAGAGCTGACTAAGCCATTCCCCAACCTGTAGGAACGAGCTCAGGTAGATCGCCAGCTATGCGACACTTCGGTCATCGTGAAAATGGACAACAACCGAGACCTGGACATGGAAAGCATCATCAAGAACGTTGAATGCTGGTACCAAGAAATAGCTCAGAAGAGCAAAGAAGAAGTTGATGCTTTCTACCAAACCAGGGTGAGTAGGAAGCAACCTGGGTGTCTGCCTGGCAGCTTAACAAACTGCAGGTCAAAAAACAAACGACGATTGTCTTGTTCCTCGGTTCCAGTTTCAGGAGCTTCAGGACAAGAGAGGCAAGTACTGCGATGATCTGCAAAGCAACAAGTGTGAGATTTCAGAGCTAACCCGGATGATACAGAAGCTGCAATGTGAACTGGAGAATGTGAAGAAGCAGGTAGGAGAGGCCCAGAGGCGATGTTTCCAGAAAGGGCAATGTCTTGGAGGACAGCTCAGATATGGGGAAAGATGACGCATTGGCCTCTAGTAGACTTAAGACCTTGTCTGGGTTGCAGCTGGAAAGTGGATAGTTGAAAAGTGGATAGAGGGAAGGGACGCTGGTGGTTTTTCTCTCTGTTTGCAATTGGAAGAGTAGACTAATCCAAAACCAGAATGTCCAGGAATTAGGAAACGAAGCCTTGAAGACACCTGCGCTGTTATCCTCCCCTCTGACAGGTCTCCTGCCTGCAAACCTCCATTTGCGATGTTGAGCAGCGTGGGGACTGTGCCCTGAAGGATGCCCGGGAGAAGCACGTTGAGCTGCAGAATGCCCTCCAGAAGGCCAAGGATGAGCTGGCTTGCATGCTGCGGGACTACCAGGAGCTGCTGAATGTCAAGCTGGCCCTGGATATTGAGATTGCAACGTATAAGACTCTACTGGAGGGCGAAGAGAGCAGGTGGGTGACAGAAACCTTGACGCTTTTCTCCTGTATATCAGAGGCCAGAAAGATACCAGCTCCCCAGCGAATTTTGCAGCTCCAGGATCCTCCCAGGCTCACAGAAACTGGGGCTGGAGAGACGGCTGGAGGCCACACAGGCCATCCTTGTGCCAGCAAAAACAGTTCCTGTCCTAGGGATAATCAGACGTGTCATAACAAGGGATTAAGTGGGCTGGATGTACGGCTGGAAGTTATGAATAACATCAGGTCTCTAGACGAGCATGCAACTGGTTAATAGGATAACGTGCATTTCTCTTCTCTCCCCCAACAGGATATGTGTGGGGAACCCGGTGAGCGTGTGTAAGTAACCTGAAGATTTTCAGCCATGTGGGTTTCTCATTTTAGGAAAGGCAGTTTATGGGGTAGCATTATCTGTCTGCCCCACCTCCCTCTATCTCTGCCACCTTTCTCCACGTCAGCCAGGGCTGATGTTGAACGTTTAGTGCCAGAAATCTCAAATACCTCTGAATTTCAAAAAAGTCATCTTTTGGATGGAAGGGTTAAGGTCAAATTCATGACCCTTTCCTACTCTTGGAAGCAACAGCAAGCTGTCCTGGTGAACCCGCCAGTCAATGCACCGATGTGCATTGGACCTAGACAGAATATGCCACCAGCCAGATGAGCAGCGTGGGAACTGGGAGGATCTGTGAGGGGATGTGTTGGGACATGGGGGAGGAGTTGGAAGGAACAGGGGCTCAGCTACGTTGGACAAATCTACAGGAAATCAGGTTTGGTCAGTTCTGGCGTTCATGAAACAACTTGCCTTGTGACAGTCTTCCAGTTTTCCTCTCTAAATAACTAATCCCGTGGGCTGTCTTGCAGCTGTGGTCAGCAGTGGCTACAATATCCCCGATGACTGCGGGATGCTGGCTGCAAACGGGGCTGTGTGCGGCTACGGCTCCCTGGGGAGGCGGTCCGGACGACACAGCTCCCAGAACGGAGGATTCAGCTCCCGGAGTGCTGGGATCCACCCCAAGAGAGTCATTAGCTCGGTGGCCAAGCAGTGTGTCCCAGAGGTGTTTTGCCAAGCTGCAGGGGTCAACTGCAAAAACGGGGGATTCAGCTCCCGGAGTGGGGGGTACCCAGCCCGCACCGTCATCAGCACGGGAAACGGGGGCTTGAACGCTAGGATGGGGGCTTGCCAGGCTGGTGGGGTGGTCAGCTTCGGAAACCAAGGCTGCGTCATCAGGCAGCTGGGGGGCTCCCCTGTCGTCGTTGCAAACAGCCCTGAAGTTGTGGGGTGCAACAACGCCGTGGTGGGGAACTACGGGGTTGTCAGAGACCCCTGTGTTGTTCCGTAGGGCCATCAGCTGGGGAGGTGGCACTGCCAGGAACGTTGGAGAGCGATGCTTAGGCACGCCGTTCCTACCACTGAGATGATGTAGGATAGTTTCTCTGCCCACTAGTAGCAACGTTTGTCACCAAGCCCACTCCCACATCTATTAGCATCAGATATATACCCCACCAAATTACGTCTTCAGAGTCCCTAAGGACATCTAAAGACAACAACCCTAAAGACACATCTAGCAAGCTTCCCCAGCAGATGCTCGACACAGTATTATTTCTCTGAGTTTATACTGTCTAGCTTACCGCAGCTTTAAGGGTTTGCTTGTTGCGCTGCATCCTCTCTCTCTGGCTTTTCCCATAACGAGCAGATTCATTAACAATGTTCTTCCTTACAAGTCACCTCTTTTTCTTCCAGCTCCTCCCAAAGCATTTCAGAAAAGAGAGTGATGATTTAACTTTCCCAGGAGGCACTGCAAAGAGCACGCTCCCCTTTCTCTTTTTTCCTTTTTTTTTTTTTTTTTTTTTTTTTTGTCAAAGGAGAAACCCTGAGCTGCAAATTTGAGCTTAAATTTTAAACAAGGCAATTTCAACTTTCAAAGCACCTGCTAGTTACACTGCAGCCATAGGCTTTTCGTGGAATTTGCTTACAGATGAATACGTAGTACTTTCATTTGCTTCTGCATGTTAGGGATGGCTAGTTGAAAGCGTGCTGATTTTTAGAAGAGCTCACCCCCTATCCCTACTCCCAAAATACCGAGGGAAGTTATTGGTGCATAAACCTTCTGAGTTTGACATCTTGTACTCACACGAACAGAGCTTCTTTCGTTTGACTGCTCAAACTTCCCAGCTTTTCACTGCGCCTTCAATAAACTGCATTGAAAGTACATGTTTTGCCTCTGATTTTTTCCACAGATGGTATTTAAAGAAATCACAAAATGGGTGAAGAAGTACTCTTTCACAGTCTGTGGGAGAAAGAAAAAAACCAAACAGACCTTTTGACTCTCTTTAGGCTGTTTGCAGCACGGTGGGACTCGGGTGCTGGGAGAGTCCAATGGTGTGGATTCTGTTTTACCTCCTCATATCACATCACCTGTAAGATATTTTATAGCCCAAGTAACAACTGGTGTCAAAGATTGCCAGAAACCTCCAAAATAATTCTGAGTGCTGTAAGATGTCCTCTATGACAAGTTTCCCAGCCTGCAGCTGCACTCACTGCTGCAACCTCAGAACAACATTTTGATCTTTCCATGTCACTGCAGTTGAATGCAGACAGATGCCAACACTGACCTGGGCTCAACGGGCTTGTGATCAGGGTTATGGCTCTGCCGGAGTCACGTGTATTTCAGACATAAATACCTTTGCTTCGGTGCCACCAGGGCTGGCAAAGTGTGACATTTACCCTGTACGACTTAAAAGGCAAAGGGCTAAGTTATGAGATCTCTTGGCCATAACGGGGTGGGATCAACTTTGTCTCAGTTTTGAAGTCTCCGATGTAGAGCTCAACATGGGAGCTGGTTGCTGGGGGCTCATTTAATGGAATGAAACCAACGTTTCCATGGGGTGATTCATCTGACCAAACACAGGCGCCTAGTTTAGCATGAAGTGCATCAAGCTCTAGACTCTACTGACTGCATCAATTAGATCTCTCCTGGCTCTGCAGGCAGCCTGGGGCAGGGGTATTAGCACAACCTGAGACACCACCATGCAAGACGCCTGCATGTACTCAGACGAATACACCCTGCCTGTCATCCGCTGGATTTGCAGACGCTATTATCACAGTGAGTTTCTTCCTGTCTCCAGCACATGAAGAATTACAGGTCACACAGCACCACTAATCTCCCTGCTCTCACAGGGCAAGATTCTAATTGCAACCCAAAAAAAAGAGTGAATATTAAAGACTGACACAAGCAAGAAGATAAGCACCTCTGGGGAAGCGCATAAGGTGTCATTTCTATGCTAGGAGTAAAAACTCTTTCATCTAACTTTGACTATCTGCGTGTCAGACTCTGGTTAGGTGAGGCGGACAGTCCTCCACCTCAGCCCCTCTCTCAAACAAGGAAACCCAGTTCAGCCATTACACATTAACTTCTACGTGGCTATGATTAGATGAGATGGAGCCCACCTTGGCGGCGCTTAATGCACTCACCGCTTGCGTACGTAGTTTGGAAAGAAGGCAGGCCAGTGCTTAGAGTCCCTGCTGAGGCATCAGGCAGCCTCAGCTAATTGCCTGAATGTCACCGATTCCCCGCGCGGTTTCAAGACGTCACTCGGGGCCACGGCCAGGCGGCGTGTGCAGGATGACTGCCCAGGAACCACTGTGGCCATCCCTTTGCAACCCATAGCCAGAACAGCTCGGTTTGGCTTTGTTTCAGAGGCCACTTCTCGTTGGGTTTTGCTGTTGCTAAAAAAGACGGTTGCTTGAGAAAGAGGAGGTGGAGGAAGCCACAGCTTTGGGACCTGGGGCTAGTCCTCACCAGCTGCTGCTGGTTGACTCGACCAGTTGGTCTTGCCGTGGCTTTGCATGACGTTCCCAGCCTCGAAGGGGTGAAAGCCCAGTAAGACCCAGGTTTTCCAGAGCTTTCCCCTCCTGACCATTAAAGTTGGGACACCAAAGTGTCCCCAAATAAGAGAAGACACAAGCCTGGGCTCTCAGTTGCAGTGCCTGATTCTCTTGCTTCAGGGGTGAACTGCAGACAGGAGTCTAAAATAGATTCCTAACATTAGCAAAGGTGACTTCTCCCATCCCAACCGAGGAAGCAGTAGGCAACTGCCTAATTTCAGTGGGAGAATAATTATCTTTTAGTGGACTGAATAATAGAGAGAAGAAAGGGAGATGATACTACCTCCTCCAAAACAAGGGCAGCTCCTTTCCTCCTCATGTTTGAGCCAACACCCAAATATTCTTAGCTATAATTTTAGCAAACCAAAGAGGAAAATGAAGGCTGCATTTATTTTTTCTCTATGGCTACAGCCGAATGGGCTAGCTCTTAAGATTTTGTCACAGTAGCAAAAGGAAAAGGTTCATCTCAAGTGGCTTTCAAACTATTCATTAAAGCTTGTATTACAAGCTCAGGAACATTTCCTGGTAAGTGATTGCTACCTTTCCTTCCCATTTTTTTTTTTAAATCTTGAAGATTGTTTCAACTATTTTTTTTCTCTTCTTTCTAATAGCAATTATCTTAAACAAACAATTGTTTTAAGCTGGGGAACTGGATTTTCTGTCAATTAAAAATAACCAGACAAAACCTTTTGATAATTGAGAAATGCTTCCATTCAGTTCTTTCAGTAAAAAATATTAATAATTTGAAAATATCGTTCCGGTGATTTTATTCTCTGAAATGTTTTGGTTTTGATGTTTCGGCTGACCAATAAAAGCACCCCAAGCCAAAGCCTACCATGGTCAAGGAGATGAAGAAGCAAACTGGAAGAAGCAAAGCCATCTAGACTAAGTGTATAGTCCAGGTCTCCTCCATCATCCATGGGGTGACTCGGAGGGTGCCCCCTCCCAAAACCAAGCATGTCTTGGGTGTGTTGTGAAAAGAGTGACTCTACTCCTCTGTCAGGCAACCTCCTGCAAATATGTCACCACCCTTTATAACCAGTATTTTCTATTTCAACCATCCTGTCCAGGGTGGAAGATTTCTGCCGTAAATTCGGCTCCAAAAAAGAAAGCCTTATCACACTGACCCGCTCACCCTGAACTTAATTTATGGACCAGAAAGGGTGACTCACCTTCTCCTAAAGCATCTCTCTCACTAAATACACCAAGACAGTAATATGGGAAGAGGAGGAAGAGGTGGGACTCTTACAGGAACAGAGAGAAAGTCATCTCCAGGAAAGAGATCTCCACAGTGTGTCCCTGCAGTACAAGGCAGAAGAGACGGCACAACCACAGCAATCAACTGAAAGAAGACACTTTGCGGTAGATAGTTGAACTGGTAATTAACCCCAGTGGAACACATTAAACAAGGAAATGTTCTCCAGGCCAAGATTGGCATTTAAGCTTTTTCACTTGCTCATTATTCCCTGAGCGTGTGTGATAGTTACCATAATGTTTTTTCATGTCGAGAGCAGACACCAATTACCACCAGCCAAACAAAACCATGCAGGCTTAAAAGCCGTTTATTTCATCCAGCCATGTCCAACATAAGGGATATTTTCAAAGTCCGCCACTAGACGGGCTCAAATGCTCTGCTCCTTTCTCCTCTCTCTACCTGGAATGAGCTGAGGATGCCAGACCTCTGCGGTCTAGCTTTGGACAATGGGCCTTTGAAGCCTTTTTAGCTCAGAAGCAGCAGGAAAAAAGCAAAAGCACATTCATCCAGGCTTTGAATCAGTAGCAACAGCAAGAAATTTGAACAGCTTTGCTGGGACAAGAACCCTCTTTGGCCTCTGTGCAAGTCTATGGAGACCTCGGTGGTGGCCCACACACAGGATTCAACGAGGGCGGCACAAGATGTGGGAGTACGAACCATAGTTTTGGCTTCAAGGATCTCGGAGACTGCGGGGACCCCAGTGAGTGCAGAAGGTTTGGAGTTTGCAGCAGCAGAGGAGCTTCCAGGATGAATCATGGTGATGGTGATCCTGGTCCCACCCACTCTGCAAGCAGTGAAAACAGCCAAAGCATCAGCCGAGATGAAAGCTCCCAGCAATGGTACAGCTCTGGGGATGATTCATAGATAAAGAAACCTCAGGAGCAAATCTGCCTGCTTTGCTGATAAGGTAGGAGCAGGAATTTTGCTTTATTCTGTGGTGAATTCCTTACACAGCCAAACTGGGAAGCTCCAGACACATCAGAAAGATATGGGTTGGAATATTCCACTTTAAATAAAAAATCAAAAATCAACCTGTGTAATTTCAGCTTTTTATCCTAGGTGTTAAAAAAAAAGTTTCGATAGCCCAAAATTTCCTGGAGGACAGAAGTTGCATTTTTGGGGCCTGACGAAGCGGATGTAGACTGATTGAATTTTTTACCATTACTCCCGGAATTATTATCAGGGATTATTTCCTTTCTTTTTCTCTTTTCTTCAGCTATCCAATTTTCAAGCTATGTCTCCAGCTCTCAGAAAGCACGGTGAGCACAGTGGTTCCATTTCTCCTTTCTGGTTCCTGGACCAAATGAGATGGTCTAGCTCTCCTCCTGACTTGTTCCTTTCTGTTCGTTAACGAACGCAGCATCTGCTATAATTATTACTATATTATTATTTCTCCTAGCACACAGAGGAGGCAGACAAGCAGGGCGTCTCGTGGCCGCGCAGGTGGGAAAGCCGAGGCTGTATTTTCAGCCCTGCATCTGCAGCCCAAGGAAGCGGACAGACACTTTGCATGGCAGGTGGGAACAAACGATACCCAAAGAGCCTGCCACAAAGCAGACCGTGGATAAATACAGGTAAGAAATTAGCCGGTAATTAGCTCCCTCTGTGAACACTCATTCCTTGCAGCCAGACGGCTCCACAATCCACATCATATTCGAAAGCAAGTTGTTTCTTGTGATGTGGTCAACGTTACTAACGGGAGGCAGGGGGAAGGCTTTAGTCAGAGATCTCACTTGGGATGGATCAGGGTAGGAGCAAGATATTCTGGGCTCGTGGTCCAGGCTCAGCATGCGGGTGGAGGATTCTCCATCTCCTTGGGTACAAGCAATACAGGATCACGCTGGACCTTTCTCGCCTCTGCTTAATACGGTATCTTTCCTTTTAAGGTGAATTTAATAGCAACCCCAGTTTTCTTTGGATGCTTCAACTCAGCTGAGCTGGAACAAAGTGAATGTTGGACCTTTGGTGGTCCAACCAAACATCGGGGTAAATTCTGACCTGGCTGTCCCTAAGCATTTTCGGGGGTTCAAGCTTTCTCTTCTACATCAATGAAACCTTTTCAGGGGGTCTGCTCTTCTCAAAACACGGGCCAGCAGATTTAACTTTCCTTCTCCACTTTTTCTAGGCTTATGTCACCGAGGTGGCTCGAGGAACCTCCCAACCGCAGACAACACGATCCTCAAGTCTGCTTAGAAGAAATGAAGGGAACCCAAACCTAAACCAGCCATGCAAGCCAAGTGGCTAGTTGAGTGTGAGCTGCTCGGTGTCTGCATGCAGCTGGTCCTGTGTCGGCTCCCGAGGAGCCGGACAGTGCACGCCATGCCGTGACAGAGCCGCGGGGCAGGGCGGATTTGTTGAGGCAGGAGCTGGAATTGCTGAGATGTCTGTTGAAGAGGTAGCAATTCCTCCCTTTCTGTCCCCAGGGAAATGCAGGTTATGTTTTTTTTTTTCCTGGAAACACCCTCATCTTTAGCACAGCCCAGTTTAGTGTAGACAGAGTTGGGTTTCGGAGGTGGACCGTCTACTTACCCAACACACTCACCAATAGGGCTTGTGTGCTAGCTGCATATGGGAACACAAATTCCACTGATATTCTTCAGGGTTCAGGTGCTACCTACACAGGGAATCCTCTGCCTATACCCAACGCTTGGTAGCTGTGGCCCAGTTCAGGAGGTGGATTTATCCTTTTTCAGGACGAAAGGAGGCTTGGTATATTCCTCAGTGATGAATCACTCCAGGTCAGATCGTAGCTGCAGGATGAAGACTCACATTATACAATTAGTTCTGCATTTCCCCAAAAGCGATGCAAATGAGGGGGAATCGCCCCGGACTGCAGCTTTTTGCAACCTTTAGGCACAAGCTTTACAATGCCTCCATCGCTGTGAAAATGACAACCGATGGCACCCAGGCACCGGCAGAAACCCCAGCACTGAGCAGAGCTCAGAGCGCAGCAGGCATCAAGG